AAAGAAGAACAATGAAAAGTAGGCTGTGAATGTAGAAATCCTCAGATGCTGGTTCAAGATATTTGTAAGGCTGGGGTTTAACTCAATGCTAGAGTGCTTGCCTAGCATGAACAAGGCTCTGTATTCAATCCCCAGCATTGCAAAAACAAATGTGTATTATAGACAGTATTTAAAAATCCATTGAGAATTTTCATCAGGAAAATAAGATCAGAGATTTGCCTCTGGTAACCAGAGGAAGAAGGTTGGAATGACCCTGCCTTCTCCAGTAGACTCTCAGTCTCTTCTCGTTTTGCTCATTTCCTATAGGACAGGAAAGAGGGAGATGATAATAAGAGATAATGCTCTCTATACAAGTTTTGCATAGAAGTTGGAAATGCTATTAAGAGACATGTGGAACATGAAAATGATAAATGAAAGAAAGCCTCTTCATGCACTGGGCATACTGTTCGAGGTATTGATGAACTTAGGAAAGGGTGGAGGCTTGGAACCCCAGAGGACTTCCCAGGAGTAGAGCTGGAAGTTGAAGAGTGGGTGAGACTGCCAAGATAAAATGACAGACCAGTCCTTGGTCAATGACTGTCTTCAGGGGTGGCAGGAGTAAATGGAGATAAGAAATATGCACCAGAAAGCCAGGAGAGCTAGAAGACAGAGGTAAATGAGAGGTTTCAGCGGGAGCATATTAGGAGACCTGGGCATGCCTGACTTAAGAGACAAAGCTAGTGGGTCAGAACAGAACTCAAACACTGGGCACTTTAAAACCCAGGCAGAGACATTTTGATTTATTCGAGAAAAAGCAGGAAATCTTCCTATGATCATAAAGATCCTATTTTCTGGGGACTTAAGAGATACCCCTCACCAATGAGGACAGAGTCTGCATCTGAAAGGTCTTATTTTCCCCACCATTCCTGACCATTCTTCAATTTAGCCCTTTTTTTGCTGTTTCTTTTGCTCTTAAAGATGAGAAGTGACTGAGTGATTATCTGCTATGATTCCTCAAAAAAGAATTTATGGTCTTATTCCAGTAAAATCAGAGTTGAAACCACAAATTTATATTGGCACAAAGTCTGAGTTATTTTTTATGTCAAAAAAATCAACCATTCTCCTTACTGAGGCAGAGGAAATAATGGGGGTGAGGTAGCTTGGAGGAAGTGGGAGTCTTGACTAAGCTGAGCAAGTTTAATGCAAGTGAGAGGGTAAAAAAGTAAGGGAGAGAGAAGTTGGGGTTTGTAGTGTGGGATGGGTTTGTTTGGTATATAGAATGGAGTCAGCCTGAGTTATGGCAAAGAAAAGTTGTTTTAATGTGTCACTGGTGGGAAAGAAATACTGAGGTCCAGACAATTAACTTCAGACAGATTGTCAGTGTAAACCTGACACTTGGATGATGGTGAAAGTGGAGTGAAGAAAAGCTGTAAGCTAGCCTCTTACCCTCAGCTCCATTATTAACAGTACTAATGGGTCTCCCCTTGCAAAACTTTGATGCCCAGTGTATTCTAGCAGAGTGCTTCATCATTGGAAGGTAGTCAATAGATGCATATTGAATTCACACAAAAATATTTAAATTTTTATGGGCATATCTTAATTATACAACACAGGGTATTTCGTGATGGAACTTTCATATAATGTACTTTGATCATTTTCACCCCCATTCCCCCTCTCTTGTTCCCCTTCCTGCTGGTCTGTTTCCTCTTCTTAAATAGCCTTCCATCTACTTTTTTTTTATCTAGATTCTAGTATGTTTGTCTATCTGAGTTTGGTTTATTTAACTTAATATCTTCATTTCCATCCATGTTCCTACAAATAACATAATTTTATTCTTTGTGGATGAATTGAATAATATTCCATTGAGTGGAATATATATATATATATGTATAATATATATATATATATATATATATATATATATATGTATACATATATATACACAGTATACACATTTACACCTCATTTTCTTTATCCATTCCTCTGTTTACAGACACTTAGAGCAATTTTCTAGGTTGGCTACTGTGAATAGTCCCACAATAAACATAGGTCAAACAAGAAATTTTGATTTCTGATTATCATTAAGAGACAGATACATGATGGGAGAAGTAACTAGGAGATTAGTAGGTTGACAGAGAGACTGTGGAGGGCATCAGTCACATGCCCAAAATGGAAGAAACTTTGTCCATGGATAGAAAAGTAACCATCTGAACTCAACATGGGGGCTTGGAGGAAGAATGCAAGCTTCTGGGGAGCTAGAAGCAACAAGTAAAAAACTTTTCAACCTTCAATTAAGGGGCTTCCTGGAAATGGTGTCCTTGACAGATGTGCAGACTTGATTTAGAGCAAAGTGAGAAAGAAAGATTATGGGGAGAAAGTGTAGGTCAGGACAAGCTGGAAACTGGAGGGATGTGTTCTGTTTTACCAGGGTAGCAGAAGAAACCCATCTCATTATCCCAAATTCTGTGCAGAGATTTCAATATTGAGCACGTCAGTGCCCCAGGTGTCTCTCAGCTCAGGTGACAACAGCTGCTGTATGGAACAAAAGCAGGTGCAGGCCCCACTCCAGGTGGCATCTACAGCAAAGTCAGCCTGAGCAGAAAAAAGTGGGAAGCATTTGAGGAAGCACCAGTGCGGCCCAGGGTCCCACCCTTACCTGTGTCACCCGGACTATGGACCTAGGGACAGGCTGGCGTGGAGCTGCTGTTCAGCCCATGGTGACTGAGTCAGGGGAGGTTCGTTTACTGCTTTAACTTCTTGGCAGCCTGTGATATGAGGATGTGAATTATAACACAGGAAAATTTTGAAAGACAGTCTGACCCCAGGGCAGGAACTGCAAAGTCAAACCAAGGTGGTTTGGTACCTTGAGAGACCCCTGAAGGCACGTAGTTTAATGGGCAGCTTTGTCAGATTTCCCTAGTGGTCAATAAGCTATGCCATTGTCCTGTTTTTTCCAAATTCCGATTTGGGATGCTTACTATTGTTTTGTTTTCAACAGTGACTTGTATATAAATGGGAGATACTTAAATACTTCTCAGTTAAGGGTGTTCTTGGCATTTTGGATGAAAAAAGGTCCTTGGAGGACCATCTCTTATATTGCAGACTCTAGCTTCTGTTACCCCTGCTTCCCGAGGCAAGAAGCCTCTTTGTCATGGTGACACCAAGTGTCCTCCCCTCTTGCTTGTGCCTCTGAGGAGGGTCATGTCACTTCTGGTTTACTGAGGATCTATGGGGTGCCCTCGGGGTGAGGGGGGGGAAGGATTCCGCTGAGTCCATGGTTCAGGATCAGCAAAATTTTGTAGGTTTTATTCCGTGTTCAATTAAAATGAAGACCACGAGCTCTGACGTTACTGTAAGCAGAAGTTTCTGAATTCATGACTGTCACCGTCAGTTTGAAACAGACAGTGACATTTCAGTGCTGTAGTAAAACTGTGGCACTCTTCTGTCTTCTCTAGTCTTTTCAGACACCTGTAATTTGTGGCTTCTCCTGTTTCCCTGCAACCCCTCCCCTATCTCTGGGTGCCAGTGCATATCTTTGTCGACATCTGTTACTAGTTAATATGTTCACACTCCCACCAGGTAGAAGGATTTTATTTTCTCATTTGATAGGCACATCACAGACAGTTTGGGAAAGACCATTTCTACTAAATGTGTCTTTGCAACACTCCAAGTCAAACCTAGCACTTAGTCATGCAGGAGGAAGGGACAAATGAACTGGTACTAGGAGGAAGCTCAACGGACTCTCCTCTTGGGTGAGACTTGGTAAGGAAAGTGGTTTCCCTCTTTCTAAGGCCATCAAGAAGTGGAATGCCATTTGTTTTTTGTTGTTGTTGCTGTTTGTTTGTTTTGGTGGAAGTGGGGTTTGAACTCAGGGCCTCATGCTTGCTAGGCAGATGCTTAACTACTTGAGTCATGCCCCCAGTCCTTTTTGTCTTATTTTTCAGGAAAGGTCTCATACTTTTGCTTGGGATCAGTCTGGGATCACAATCCTTCTACCTATGCCTCCTCTGTAGCTAGGATTACAGGCATGAGCCACCACACCCTGTCATTTAAACAAAATTTCTGGAATTTTAAGAAGACCTATTTTGAGAATGCTACATAGGAAGAAGGTCCCCTCCTCGAGGGGATCTGGCTTCTCTACTGGCTTCCACCCCTCCTTCCCATCTGGATTTTCAAGGTGGCTTTCAATCTTCCTTTCATGGGGTCTAACACTCATTTTATGTGACCTTCCACACCTGTAATCTGTCACTTCTGGCACCTGTACCTCCCCCATACTCTCCATGCCCCCAGCCTCTTCAATAACCTGACATGAATTTCCCCTGCATTAATCCCACCCGTCTCTGATCTCTTCTGGATTTTTTTATTTCCTTAACCACGTCTTACTGTTACTGCACATATGGGAAGATTGCTTAGATGTACTTTCATAGTCACTCAAGTCTTGAAATTCTGGCTCACCTGAATTATACCTATCATATAGTATCAGAAAGGAGATCCACACTGGAGGTAGATAGATAGATAGATAGATAGATAGATAGATAGATAGATAGATAGATAGAATGTCTATTCCATGGTCAGGCTAAGTCTCATCCAACTAAAATGCTGGGGACCAGATTGTTTTAGATTTCAGATTTTTTTCAGATCTTGGGATACTTAGAGACATAATGCTATGTCTTGGGGATGGGATCCAAGTCTAAACACAAAATTTATTTATGTTTCACATATACCTTATACATACATACAGCCTGGAAGTAACATTTATACAATGTTTTTAGTTTATCTTCATTTTGACTGTGGCCTATCATCCTGTGAGTTGAGGTATGGAACTTCCCACTTGGGGGAATCATGTCAGAACTCAGTTATAGATTTTGGACTATTTCAGCTTTGGGATTTTTGAATTAGGGGTGGTTAACCTGTTCTTGCCTCTGCAAACTCATCCCAGAATAGAGTTCTGACTCATGGTAGATGCTCAGTAATGCCATGTGAATGAAACCTGTCCTTCTCTAATCAGGAAAAAAAAATGCATGTGCCTGTCACTGGGGGTGGGCAGCTTGCCTGATTCAGTTAAGGCAGAGAAATGAGAGGTCTGGGTTAGGCATTAGGGAGCCTCTCGCCACTCACCATTGTGTGTCTCTCCTGGCAGGAAGATGAAGTAGTACTCCAGTGCATTGCGAACATTCACAAGGAGCAGAGGAAGTTCTGCCTGGCAGCCGAAGGACTTGGCAACCGTCTGTGCTTCTTGGAGCCCACCTCAGATGCCAAGGTGAGGTCAATGATCTGTCTGGAACCTTCCTCTCTGGTCTCCCATGTGGTCATCCAAGGGAAGGGACTGCAGGAGAAGAACATACTTTTTGTTAACAATGGGAAGCAGATCAGGCTTAAAACAAAACTCTGCCCTAGACCTGGAAATACTGAAATGGGATCCTATTGTTAAGAAGTAAAAGTACTTGTCTGTCAGTGTCCTACAGACATCAAGGATGCCAGGGGTTCTTGGATACTCCCAGAATGCCCTCTTTTATGTTACTAAGTCTTCCCAATCTGAGCATACATTCTGTGCCCCAAGTTGTATCTCATTGCTGTGAGGACTCCCAGCTGCTGTATTGTGCAGCAGGGAAACCCCTATCAGTTATGACTAAGTAGACATTGTAACTGTCTGCCTGCTGTGACCCAAAGGCAAGGAGGACCATTTTCTCTGGTCACTGCCTGTAAGGTGGCATGCAATGTTGTATCTTTTCAGCTGAGCTTTCCTTCCTCCAGTTGTAGACTATGTCTGTCTGACTGTCCAGTGGACCTGTGTGCTCAGCATTCTTACAGTACATTGGAGTCCTGGAAAGACCCATGCATCAGTCAGGGTTCTCAGTGATACAGAACTAGAAGAAAGAAAGGTATGTGGTTGGGTGAGTGGATGGTTAGATGTGGATTTAAGGAATTAGTTCATATAATTGTGGTGCTGGTGAGCCTGGAATCATGGATTAGCTGGAGACAACAGGCAGGAGTTATTGTGATGTCTGTGGGCAAAGTTTCTTCTCCAGGAAGCCAGCTGCTCTTGTTCAGGCCCTCAACTGATAGGATGAGATACATCCAGTTACCAAAGACAGTCACCTTTACTTAAGGTGTTAATTCCATCTATAAATATCCTTACATTATTATCTGGATTAAACCAAGTTAACACATCCTCTAAGCTCACACACCCTCTAAATTCAGCTTTTTTTTTAATCAGAAAATGACCTGCCCACCTATTGGCATATCACTTTTCTCAGAAACATTTACTACACATACACACATGCAGTTTGGCCAAATTCTAGAACACCAGCCATGGCCAGAGCCACCTCCTTCGCCTTCTTCACACGATTATTTCCACCTCCTGTGTAGGTCACCACCTCCTAATAGGCTTGGCTAGTACCTGTAGGACCGAGTACATTAAAATAAATCTGGAGAAATCAAGGATGATTGCTATCTTTTTTAAGGCCATAGACTTGATCTCCTTGAGGCCTTTTCTCATTTGCTTTTTGTTCTTAGCGAGATTTTTTTTTTCTTTTCATTGCCAGCAGTACTGGAATAATAGGAAGATCCTTAGATGAGAAGTCAAGAAGCTAATTCTCAGCCAGTAACTAGTCATGTAACCATGGTCAAGTCACTCACCCTTGTTTACAGTTTTCTCATCTACCAAATCAGGTGCAGTAGGGCATGGCTGCAGGTGTCAGCCTGGATTATAGATCAGATAGTACTAATTTCTAGTCACCCATCCAGCAGTGCCTTGAACAGTGATGTGGGGACAGGCTTGGTGGCTGGACTGGCAGAGTTCAAATCCCAACTCTACTACTTTCTAGCCTAGCCAATGTCTGGACAAGGTATTTCATCCTTCTGAGTTTAGTTTACTTATCTGCTTAGTGGGAACTTCATTGTTTTCTACCTTATAAGGTAGTTCTCAGGATTAAGCAGAGTAATACATGTACCTAGTTCAGGTAAATTGTTGGGCACATTGTAAGCGCTACATAACTATTGGTTATTGCAACTTAATTTTGGGCAAGAATCTTAAACTGGGACTCAGCTTCTATGTAAAAGAAGTATAACTTCTTTCAGGGGGATTGTGGAAATAAAGAAAAATATATATGAAGCTCATAACACTGAGCCTAACACCTTTAATAATAGCTAAAGTTAGGCCAGGTGTGGTGGCATAGGTAGAAGGATCATGGTCCAAGCCTGGTCTCAGGCAAAAAGTATGAGACCCTATCTGAAAAATAACTTACATAAAAAGAGCTAGGGATGTGTTCAAGTGAGGCCCTGAGTTCAAACTCCAACACCACTAATGATAGTAATAATTACAGCTGGAATTGATAGTACTAAGGATATCATTGTGATCCCTTTTGACTGACAAAGCCTGATTTTGTGTGAAAGGCAAAACATTGTGGATCAGCTTCTGAAAGTATAAAATCTTCATCTTCAAAACTAGAGTCTTAGATTAGATTCATTTAATTATAAAACTACATAATTCTATAAATGTGAGTCTATATCTATAATACTCTAACCTAAGCCAGATAGGGAAAAACTGCACATTGTGACCTAAGAAAACTCAGATGCCCCAGGCATGAAAACCAGGCATACCACGATAAATGCATCAGGGATGAGAAACAGCCTTCCTAACTCCCACATGACTAAATTGTTTTAATTTTCATCGTACATAAAAAAGATAGTGACTGAAGAATCTTCAAAAGGAACATAGCATATCATACATGATCTTACCACTTCACAACTGTTTCCATTCTAGTCTTTGTCCACATGCACCTGTATGTTTTCAAAGTTGTTCTCAAAAATGGATATTTCCATACTGTGCTTTCTAATCTAATGTTTCAGCCAGTTCCATATTATTATGCAATCTTCATGGATGTTTAAGAACTCATGCAGGTGATTTTGCTGGTTCGTTTTGGCTTCCTGGAGTAAATACCCAGGACTAGAATTCATGGTGTTGGGGGCATGAGCAATATTAAATTTTTCCCAAGAGAATATATCACTTGTTACAGTTAGTACTTCCACTGTCATCGTGTCAGTGTGTCTCTTTTGTATGTAGGATGAAGAAAGTGCACACAGTGAGGATTGTCATGGAGAAATAGGGCCAAGTTCATGAAAGTGTGAAGTGGGTGTTCCAAATTTCCTGACACTGTTCCTGGAAGCAGCCTGCTATATGAGCCCATTTTCTGGGAGTTTTATTCTTTCCTACAGTCTTCTGAGAGAGGTGTACATAGTTGTAGGTGTGGCTGCTTGTCCTTTCCTTTTTCACTAAATATTTCTTCTAATTCTCTGCCATCAAATTTTAGAATGGTTGTTCTGTCTTAGTTCTTGGAACCTATCCTAAGTCATGCAGTGAAGTAAGAAGACTGTATCTCGAAGGCTGGCACCCTGAACAAAGAACAGACATCAAACACCATTCTTAACAGCCACTTACAGAGCCAACCAATGACCTTGGGCATTCCTACTCAAGGGTATTATAACCTAGTTGGGATCTGAGAGATAAAATTGAGATGAACTCCAAGGAGAAGGACCTCAGAGAAAAAGAGTTAAGATAAGGTATTCAAAAGATATTCTTAGTGTGTGAATTCTGAAAAACAAAGGTCTTATGGAAGCAGAATAAGGGGGTTGAAAAATAAGGAGCAAAAGTCTAAGAGCCTCAGCACATGCTGTCAATGTGGAGACCAGGTAGCAGTCAGGAGCGCTTATGTGGCTTCCATTCCTGTGTGGTGTGGCCCATAGTTCCTTGCAGTTCTCCAAAACTGCCGATAGTAACTGATAGAAGCGCAACTGCTCACCTTCCCTTTCAAATAAGCACAGATCAGGAATTAAAGGAGATCTTTTTTATAGGAATGGATCAGATATAATCAAAGACCAGGACACACAGGGAGGAAGTGTTTCCTCTTTATTTTCTTACTAACAGCAAACATTGTATGTATTGTCATTTTAACTAGAAAAATGGTTTTTTTAGGCCCTAGGAAGTTATTTTCCTCTAGACCTTGGAACATAGTTACCCACCCAAGTTTTGTCAGATTGTCCCAGGAGCAAACCCAGAGAGTTATCTGGGGGCCAGGTTCTCATGCAGAAGAAAAGAGTTTCAGAATCCTCTCCCAACAAATAACTCAGTGAAGACTGTGACTCAACTATTGTGGTCTTGTCACAAGTGTCTAAAACCCCAGTACCTTGTCAAATCCCACCTTCTACCCTCCTTTATAATTAATAGTCATCAAAAAGTGAAAGGAATACTGGAACTTTTTGTTTGATTTATTTCAGTGAACTGAATAAGTGGAGTTGAAACCATGTATCCCAGTTCCTTCCAAAGTCAATGCATCTAAGCCTTTGGACTCTAGGTGTCCAAGTGTGAAGTTCAGTTTCCTTTTGGGAACATTTTGCCTTACTGATGATGACCAAGACAAACTAGAAAGTCCAATCTTAAAGTCCAACTTGCAAACTGAACATTTCCAGGGGAAAACTTATTCTTACAGCTTTCACATTCTGCTTAAAGATGAAGAATAGGCTATAGTGAAGTTGAAGGTGACCATTTCTTAATGTCATACAGGCTCTTGAGACCCAGGGTTAAGCACTAGCGTTATCATGTAGATGGCAGAAGTTGATGCAATTTTCAGCTAAAAATAACATTTTCTACTATTTCTATTTTCTTTATCTCAGATTTGTGTTTATTCCTAAAAAGTATGATGTTGCACACTTTTCTTTGAATTTTTTATTTATATTTTAGCATGTTGTATTTTTAATAGACCTGAGATCTTATGAAAGACTAAATTATTATAAAATTATTTCAAAACCCCTTGTTATGTAATATGAAGAGACTAATGGATTGAGATTTTTATTTTTTAAAACATTTATTGGGCATGCAGTGTTGTACTCCAGGTCCTGCAGTGATGCCTATTGTTAATCTTTATAACCCAACAAAGCAAACATTGTCCTCTTAGAGCAGAAAGGTGTCAGATTTAAGTAGTTTAGTGCCTTCCTGAAAATGAGTCATTGTAAGTTTAAAATGCTCTCTACTTTCTATAGCACACAGAAACTGAGTATCATGCATCTACTCAAGGCTAATGAAGCCATATTGTTCCATGTAGTTAGACTTCAAGAATACCTGGGCACCCCTCCATCTCCCTCCTACAGCATTTCTACATCTATCCTGTGAATTCCTGACATTCCAAAGTTAGAACTCCATATTTTGCTTAAATCAGAGGAACTACTACAATGCAAATGTTATGAGCAAGCATATGAACCAGT